CTCTCTCTCTCTCTCTCTCTCTCTCTCTCTCTCTCTCTCTCTCAGTGTGAAGATGGCTGGGACATCTTTGGCTGGCAACCATGAGTATCCCACCCAGCCTCCTTTGGTGAATGGGGTAGCATCAGAGTGCCAACCTAAAGTCACCCCACCTGATGCCAGCTAAGAGTAGCCCAGCACCCTGTCACTGAATGGGGAATGAACGTCCGTCCGCAGGCCTGCCATGGGGCTCTGGCACCAGGATACTCTGGGGCTGGGACTTGCTTTCTAGACCCAAGTGTCCCTGTCCCAGTTGGCACCGAAGAAGGACCCGTTGGATGCTTCAGTGTAGATGGTAGCTGGCCCAAGCAGGCTTCCAGGAGTCCTGGCTACCCCGAGGGCAGCTTCTCACTTCTGGTGGCGGCAGCCATGACATTCCTCCCTCCCAGCATACTTTTCCACACCCTGAGATGGAAGGGCTATCAGATTCAGGATCACCTCTCTGGGTTTTTCAGTCACTTTCTGACAACATCACTCCTGACCAGAGAAGCCACTTGTGAATGGTGTCCCTACAGGGGCTGGACACCCATGGCCTACAGAGCCATCATGTATGGCTTTAGGCACAGTCTGCAACCCTCTCTGCCTTCGGTACCCGAAGGAGGCACTGGCATGGAAGGGTAGCTCCAATCCTTACTGACCTAGAGCGAGCTGGTGGCTGGGGATGGATCTTGGTTTTTCCAAGCCCAGGCTTCCCTGGGACCATGCTGTGCCCAGTGGCTTCTGATATTCTAAGGCAGTGAACTGCACCTCCCATGCTGAGGGGATAAGGATGGCGGGGTGATTCAGTACAGACAGAGGACTAATTCACCAGGCATTCCCCATTCCATCCCTAAGCCTTGAGAGGGTCTGTGGGGATGGGGCAGGGCATTTATGGACTGGGTTGGGACAACCGCACAGCACAGGTCATTTGGAGGTGCCAGGCAAAGATCCTGCTTCTGAGCTCTGCCTCTCACCCTCAGGCTGAGAAACACGAAGATAATGTTCCTCAGAATAATGGAGAACTTGCTGTTCGGGCCAAGCTGGTCCTTCCTGCAGGGCCAAGAAAGCTCCAGGAGGCCCGAGAAGGTTAGTGACCTCCAGCCCCGTGAGCATTTGTTTGCGTTCCTGTCCCCAAAGCCCAGAGGGCAGGCAGTTTGAGGTAGGCAAAAGATTTTCCACTGCCCACTGACTCTACACTTTCCAGTCCCTGGAGCTGGTGACTTGAGGGGACATGGGTGACCAGAATAGACGAGGCCTCCGGTGCACACGTCATCCTTCCTAAAGTCTAGACTGGACAGTCCCTGGTGGCCCCGTTGAAAAAAAGGGACACTGTGGCAGCATGCATCCAGAGTACAGGAACCAAGGATGCTTCTAGGGCACTGGGAGCTGGAGGCTGAGAGAGATCAGGGTGGAGCAGGTCCAAGGGCAGATCCTCAAGCTGTTTAACTTAGATAATGCAAGGTACATGGACGGTGAGGGCAGACAAGGACACAGGGGTGGGGGTGGGCGGGGGGGGAAGACTCTCAATGACAAAGGGTAGTTTAGTGACTTTGGCAGGAATAGGAGGACATTCTGATTCCGAGCTCCCAGGGCCGGCAGCCTGCACCTGCCGGAGGTCACCAGGAAGGGCCTCCCCAGAACAGCAGCGAGCGTATATGGCTCCCTTCACAAACCATGAGTTACGATGATCAGCATTCACGGCTTTTCCTCCTGTGGTTTCTCCAGTCCTCTGGCTAACTGCCACCTTCCTGCATTTGACTGCTCCTTCCAGTCCGTCTGCATGCTGGCTGCAGAGGCAGTGTGTGGCCAAAGCCGGTGAAGGTGTGGAGGAACAGCACCTCTCCCTCCTGGTCTCTTAAGGCCAAGAGGCTGTGGGTCTTCTCTGGAGGCCACCACCTCCTGGCCATTGATACTGTATCCTAACATATCAGGAAAAACATGTTTAATCCAAGTTCTGACTTTCCTTCCAGGCACAGGAGGTCAGTTATCGCTTAATGGTCAACTTTGTTTGGTTGTGCTAGGAGCCAAGAATTTACCCGTGCGCTCAGATGGTACCTTAAACTCATTTGTTAAGGGGTAGGTATTAGATGTGCTGGTGAGTATATACTGAGCATGGTCCAAAATCTGTAGAAAACACCACAAAGTGTAGACCATTTGAATTCATCTTATTTTAACTTTCCTATGAAAATCTAAAATAGGGCTGGTGAGATGGCTCAGTGAATAAAGGCCCTTGCCAGGTCGGATGACCTGGGTCCGGTCCCCTGGAACCAACCACACAGTGGAAGGAGAACCGGCTTCTGCAAGCTGGTCTGTGTCCAACACATGGGTGGCATGCTCACTTGTTCTTACATGTGTGCACATACAAAGTAATTAGATTAAAAAGAAAATCAAATACAGCCTATTTTTAAGAACCAAGAAGTCCAAGAAACAAGGTTTGGTTATAAGAAGCTTGGCTGGGAATAGCCAATTCTAAACAGAAACCCAGACTCGTCGGTTCTTGATAGACCAGAAACCAGTTTTGAAGTTGAATATGGAAAAGCTCAGGTAGCAGTTCCCTAGCTCAGCACCTCCTCTTGCGTTAAGCATCAAATGGTCACTCTGTACCATTCTTAGTCACTACAGGCATGCCAGTGTCCTCAAGAGAAAACGCTAATAATTAAGGCACGAACCCCAGTTCCTGAAGCATGGAAAAAATGGTGGCTCCTCAGGGCAGAACCCCTTGCTGCTACTGTGTATGCCCTAGGGCAAGCTAGCCTCCCTAAATGTCTTTTCAGAGAACGGGACAAAATGAAGCCATGTACATACAGAGCCCTGGTTCTTCGGCATTGGTTTTAATGGCAGCATGGCCACGAGGCGATCACATTGAGGGCCACATGCCACAGAATTCCAACTTACCCTACATACCTGACGTGGGATCTAGCTCGAAAAGGAAATAGGAATGCTAGGGAGAAGGCACACGGGCAGGCCTCAAGATTCTAACCCAGTTGAGCGCGGAATGGGTGCGGCTGACAAACCCACAGGTACCTGTGGGGATGGGGATTGTAGGCTGGGCTGTGGCCTCAAGGTTCCCGTGTCCTCCTTCAGCTGTCTCACTCTGCCAGACCAGCAAAAACTGCGTGTCAAGTCCCCAGTCCTGAAGAAGCAGGCCTGTCCCCAATGGAAACATTCCTTCGTGTTCAACGGTGTCAGCAGCTCCCAGCTGAGGCAGTCCAGCTTGGAGCTGACCGTCTGGGACCAGGCCATCTTTGGGATGAACGACCGCCTGCTTGGGGGAGCCAGGCTTGGTTCAAGTAAGTCTGTTCAGAGTTGACCGGTGAGAACCACAGGCGTCTGTCCTTAGTGACTGCCCTACATGAGTACGGATTTCTACAGTGTCAACCATTCTGCTGGCTTTGAAGCTGCTCTTGTCCCGTCATAACGGGAGTTCCCAAGTCCAGGGTTAACTCTACCACAGAGAGATAATACAGCCAAGTATTCCAGCAATTTAAATCAGATTTGGATCAGCTAGAAAAACAAAAGCTTCGGGGTTCACAACAGGCAAGGGACAGTGTTTACTTTTGTTCCGGTGTCAATCATAAGAGGATTATTTTCTTAAGGAAAATATCTTAACCCAGACAAACATACATCTGGAAAGACGTCACCGAGGGGACAGACAAGGGCACCATTCACTGTAGCTTACCCAGAGGCCGCTGGCATTGTATGGACGGCCTCCTACTGGGAATGGGCAGGTTCTGTATTCCCATCTAGTTCTCAGCAGGGCTCCGACACCGAAGCCCCCCCCCCCCCCCAGCCACCTCCAGACATCTCTCCAAGAGACGGCCAGCTAAGAATTACTAAACAGGACTTGGAGTTGCATTCCTTAGAAGGCACGTTTCAAAGCAAACCCTTCCTCTGCGACATCCTTTCCATGAAAAACCAGGGCCTCCAGACCACCTTCGGCCTCAGAATTAAGTTCCATGATGCCCACTGGGAAGAAGTGGATGTCTGGAGTCCACCTCCCCTCTCTTTAGAGCAGTGGTTCTCAACCTTCCTAATGCTGCAACCCTTTAATATAACCCCCTCATGTTGTGATGACCCCCAACCATAAAATTATTTTCGTTGCGACTTCAGAACTGTAATTTTGCTGTTATGAATTGTAAGTATTTGTGTTTTGTGATGGTCTTAGGTGACCCTTGCGAAAGGGTCATATGGCCCCCCAAGGGTCACAACTCACAGGTTGAGAACCACTGCTTTTGGGCATGGAATCCTAGGCTTTGGGGGCATCCTTCTAATGCCCCAGTACATCCTGTTCTTTTTTTTTTTGAGCTGAGGATCGAACCCAGGGCCTTGGGCTTGCTAGGCAAGCGCTCTACCACTGAGCTAAATCCCCAACCCAACATCCTGTTCTAATCCCACCGGTGCAGGGTGGGGGGAGGGTGCCTCTTAGTCTCAAGTTGAGGGAGAGAACAGGCGTCTCCTCAGCTCAAAAGCTAGGGAGGGCAAAGCGGCGTCCTCACCCACCACCACCTACTGTCTCATTGCAGAGGGAGGTGCTGCGGGTGGTACCGACGCGTGTTCACAGTCCAAGCTTCAGTGGCAGAAAGTCCTGTCCAGCCCCAACTTATGGACAGACATGACCCTCGTCCTGCACTGAGGTTGAGGCCCGAGGTGACTGCCGACCCGCAGAGGTCGACGGGATGTGAGATCATCGCAGAGTCAGACCCACCAGTCATTGACTGCAGTTGTGGTGTGTGGCCAGATAACAGAACCAAGACTGCTCCCTACCACAGCCAGGGGGAGGTTCCGGACTTGAGTGGGAATGTCCCGAGTTCAATAAACGCTCGGCAGCGGCCCACGGCTCCCAGCATTTATTAACAACAGAAGTTCTGAGCTTTGTGTTTCAGAGAAGAAAAAAAAAAAAGTGTGGTGAGTGTTGTTTGCCTTGTCTCCTGTGGAAAGCCTCCCAGTGGAGGAGGAGCCTGGGAAGACATCTTTCTGGTTAGTGCGCTGGCATGTCCCGAAAATCCCCCACGCAAGCAGACACAGGTCTCGGAGAGCTTTTATTGTGCATACGTCTGGTGCTGTGACATCACAACTGAGGAAGACAGGAACTGAAAACAGGTAGGGACAGGCGCTCACAACAGACGGGGCAGCGTCCCTTCAGGGTCCGAGTGTGAATGCTCTCGGCGTGTATTTCTTTAAAATGAGAAACTGACAGAAAATTGAAGTGTGTATTCACACGCACAAAAAAACCCACTAACATTCTGTACAGATACGATTACTGCAGTAGCCAGCTCCCAACTGCCCCACGTCACATCAAGTGTCTCGATGACATGGTTCTTAATATTCTTTTATTCTGTAAAAGGTAACAAAATATACAGAACAAAACTTTCCCTTTTTAAAACTAATGTTACAAACCCATATTATCACTTATATAAATACTATTCTCTATAGCAAATCATTAGGTATATAAGTCCAACAATGTATGCTAACAGTAAGCATGAAAACAGTTTTGTATCGGAGGGTCCTGTACCGTACACTCTGAAGGACCGCCGTACACTCGGCCAGTGGTGTGCAGGAAGGAAATTGTGAGGGGAGCGTGCTTTAGACTCACACTGCAAAATCATTTTCACCCCCACCCCCGCAAGAAAAACACAGAGATGGATCCTTCATAGAAATTAAGAACATAATCGATTTGAGCTCATTTCAAAACTAGAGAAAGTATGGCACCCATGCGTAAGCCACGGTGTGGTCCCTAATGATAATGAACCTGTGTCACACGGGCCAGCCTGAAGTTCCTTAGACTTTAGAGGCATCCGAATCCACTGCAATCAATCCTGCTGCAAACAGGAAGTGACTCAGTAACTGTCATGAAAAATCTGGCCTGTTTGGCACTATGGTGTAAGTGGAAGTAGCCAGGGGGGGACTCCACGGGGGCCTGGTGCAGAACAGTGCTGCCCCGTAAACTGCTCTTTAAGGGACAGGAACCTGTCAAGGGGGGGTTCTAGACTTAAGAGTACTAAAGAGCCGAGTGTGACACACCCTGCTGTGAGGTGCCCTCCCTCCGCCCATGGTCGTGGCGTGGCGTGGCCTGGCCAGGCCTTTACATGGCCTCGAACTCGTCGATCCGCTGCTTGGTGTTGCCCTGCCTGATCTGCCGCAGCGTCTTGTACTTGTCCCGACCTTGCCGCATGTTCTCGTTGTGGATGATGTCATTGTGGGTCCTCTTGTTCTCATCCCGGGCCTGGGACAGCTCGTTGCTCAGGGTCTGCAACACGAAGCAAGCGAGCGTCCATTACCTGCCTGCCTCCCCTGTGAAGTCACGGTGCTACCACAGTGACATCGTGGAGTGGCTGGGACGTGAGACCACGGAAGGGGCCGGAGAGAGTACCGGGGTGGGGTTCTGAGGAAGGGCTGAGCCCACTCACCAGCAGCTGCCGCTGCACACGCTCGTTCTTCTCGGCCTCGGTGATCCGCTTCTCCTCGTTGCGGTCGTCCAGGATGCCTTCACTGGAGAGCTCAGCGCTGTAGCCCATGGGCTCTGCCCCCTCGTCCTGCAGCCCCTCCTGCACGTGGTAATTCACCGGCTCGTACACTGGCGGCGGCGGGGGTGGGGGGGCCGTCATCACCAGGTGCAGCTCCTCCTTGGTCTTCACCAGGTCGTCCTGGGCTTCTTTGGCCTTTGGGGAGGAGACCGCTGGTCAAATGAGAACTCTTTTTCCCCACACACAGCCTGTCTTGTAAGAAGCGGCGTGGTCTGCCAGCAGGGAGCCTAGGGATTCTGCCTCTGCTTGGCTCTCGGCAACAGTGGCGCCACGCGCGTCCAGACGCCGGGCACTTCAGAGCACCGTTTCTTCCTGCCTGTAATCCTGGTATCCACTCACTGGCTGTGTTCTCCCGCTGTGGAAGTGTCTGTGCATGCCTCTCCCTCTGAGTGGTATTCTCATCCACCTCACCCCCTACAAATGGCTTTCTTCACCTGCTTGCAACGGGTCGGAGGACATGTAAGGTATGGATGGGAGAGACAGGCCCAGGGCAGCCCCAGAAAGGGACTCCTAGAAAGGAGCAGGGCACGTGGAGAGGGACATGGGAACACAGGGGGAGGGGTCTGGGCCCTCCTTCAGCTACAGCAGATTGACCCTGACTGACACAAGGCAGAAGGCCGCGCTGACGCCGCCCCAATCTGAGGAAGCAGGCTCAGAGGTGAGCCTGGGCTGTCTGTCACGCTGGTCTGGGGACCTCCGAGGTTCTTCAGTATACTCCAACTGTCACATGCTGCTTCAAAGCTCTGTGACCCCCATCCCAGGGGGTACCCAAGCAATTAGAATCAAATCTAGTTCCTGATCGACGGGTGTGTGTGTGTGTGTCTCTGATCATGGCCGAAAGAGCGTGGGAGGTGGGAAACAAAGTGAGGAAAAGGACTGAGTAGGTCTTTGTTCCTCTGCTAATCCAACGCCAGCCTGCTGGTCTACCTCTTCAACAGGGTGGGTCAAGGCCATTCCTTGGGGGATTTCTCTCTCAGTAACAGAGAAGGCATCTGCAGAGGATTCTGAGCGGGTTCAGAAGCTTGTGATGTGTGACCTGCAGCTGAGCTAGAGCCCTCTGCCACACTCCCTGCCCCGGGTGTCCCCTGCCACGCCCCCCGCCCACCCCGGGTGGCCGGTGTCCCTACGGCTGGCCGTGCAGGTCTCTGGGGTGGGACTCACCCGATGCTGCCACTCCTCCACCTCGTCCTCCTTGCGCCTCCGAGCCTCCTCCAGCAGCGCGATCTTGGCGGTGTACTCTGCCAGCTCTGCCGCCTAGAGGGGAGGGCACCGCGGTTTCTAGAACCTGCCTGGCAGAGTCCATTGGTGACCCAACATTCACCCACACGAACGAACGGCCTCCCTGGTGACGAGCTCTGCCCCCTCCTCCTTTGTGGTCAGGGGGACTCTTCTCTGTACCTCCCTGTGTGTCTGTGGGGGTCTGGGCACCCACATCCACCTCCCTGACTGAGGACTCAGACAAGTCCGGCCCACCCCTGCTGGCTCCCTGCGGCTGCAGCAGCAGATCTGCTTACAGCCCTAGCCGAAAGCTTTGCAAGGCAGGTGTTGCTGGTCTGACTCCCCAGGAACAGCCTCTCCATAATTGAGCATCTTGAAACCGGGCAATCCTACCAGCTGCTCCTGGCTCTTTATCTGATCCTGAGCCTGTCTCTCCAATTCCTCCTTGGCCCGCAGGGCGGCCACGCGGTCGGCCTCCAGGCGCTCAGCCTCCTCCTGGGCTCGCTTCCTCTCCTCCTCCAGCTGGAGGGCCTTCTCGATCTGCTCGGAGAGCTCTGCGGAGAACACAGAGTCAGAGCTGCTCAGACTCCAGGCAGGAAACGAGGCTCGGCCTTCCCATCCCAAAGTGAGCTGATGGAGAATGGGTGAAAACTGATCCCAGAATCGCAAAGCCCTAGATTGAGTCCTGGGCTTGGAAGCAGGGACATCTCAGGGCTCTTTCCTGCTGTTTCTAAGATAACTTAGTGTGTGGAGACCACCGAGGAGCAGCTGGACAGAAACTCCACTCCTGCGCTGGGTCTAACCCTGCTGCATCCTAATGGCACCATATTCCACAGCACACCCTTACCACTCATCACCTGGACACTGACTCGGACACAGAAATGGTCTGCTGGTGTCTCTCAGGCTCCAGCAAACAGCATCTCCCCTCTATTCTAAGTGTCCCCAGAGGGCAGGGCTGCTCCTATGACCCTGGAATGTATGGTGGAGCTGTCACAAGCTGGCTATGACAGCTGAGTGTGTGCTAAGTGGATATGGTATGAAGCCTAAAAGGCGTGGAAGCAATGTGTCCCACATCTCTGCCCCTGACTGGAGTTTGACTACAGGTTGACTCTACCTCACTGAACAGTCTCAGGAAAGTAGTGGGAAATGAAATATGACAGGCACAGACATTAATACAGCACAGGACTGCTCTCTGATCTCAGTGACGACATCGTCATCTACTTTGGGGGGGGAGGGGGTTGTGTTAAACAGACAGCACTCTTGACCCGGTCCCCTCTTGGCTGTGGGCCAACCCCAGGGTGATTGGGGGGTCGGGGTGGGGGAGGGCAGGGCAGCCTGAGCTGCTGACCTTTCTCGGCTCTCTTGGTCTTCTGCTCGTAGTCCTGCAGCCGAAGCATCAGCTCCTCCTTCTCCCGCAGCATCTGTTCCTTCTCTCTCTCCACGGTCTCTCTCCTCTTCTTTTCCGTTTCCAACTGTTGTCTGGTACAGGGAAGAGACACCAAGGGAGGGTGAGGCAGACAGACCCGGACGGGCGGACACAGCCGCTGGCCTGCTACCTCTCTGTTCTCTCGGGAGCCTGTGCCTGGATGGTTTGTGATCAATCGGGTGGGAGAGGTTCCTGGGGGGCAGTCCCTGCCCAGGCCGGGGGTCCCAGACGCCCACAGACGTGGCGACATTCTCTCAGGCTCTCTGGCCACTCACCGCTCCAGCTGCTTCTGGTGCTTCTCCTCCCGGGCTTGGGCCTTCATCTGCTGCACCTCGATGGTGTCGGGCTTCCTGCGGCGCATGTACAGCTCGTGGTTCCCCATGCAGAGCTGCAGGATCCGCTTGTTGATTCTCAGGCGCGGGGCGTAGAACACAAAGTCCTACAGAGGAGAACAGGGCGGCTGGGTGGGCATCAGCTCCTCCAATAGCCGCCTTCCCCAAGACCACACTTCACGGAGTTCCTTCTCTAAAAGGTCGAATGCCACAGAGGATGGGGCCAGGAAAAGTTCACTCCCCGCGGGGAGTGTGTGTGGTCTGTGTATGTGCATGTGTGTGTGTGTGTCCACTTGCATATTTGTGGTCTACGTGTGGTTTGCCTAGCATGGGTGTGTACACACTAAGCCTCTGC